TCTCTCTCTCTCTCTGTGTGTGTGTGTGTGTGTGTGTGTGTGTGTGTGTGTGTGTGTGTGTGTGTATTTGAGAGTGTATATACCTGTGTGCATGCACGTGGAGAGCAGGGGAGAATGCTGGAAGAGAGAATCTGTTCCCAAGGAAAGAATCTATTGCTTTTCACCTTTTTTTCTGGAGGGGGGTCGAGATAGGGTTTCTCTGTGACTTTGGAGGCTGTCCTGGAACTAGCTCTTGTAGACCAGGCTGGTCTCGAACTCACAGAGATCCACCTGTCTCTGCCTCCTGAGTGCCACCTTATTTTTTTAAGACAAGGTCTCATGTGTGGCCATTCCTGGCTTTTATGTGGTGCTGGGGATTTGAACTCAGGTCTTCTTGCTTTCACAGTAAGTGTTCTTATCCACTGAGCCATTTCCCTAGCCCCAATAGGCAGATTCTAAATTTCACATAGACATTAAGAAATCTAGAATCAAAGCAAGTAGAAATTAAACAAAACAAAGTTGAGAATACTTACCCTATCTGATAGAGACTTAAACTATGAAGCTACAGTATGTGGTATTGTAGTACAGTATTTCAGACAATGTGGTATAATCATAGCTCCTGGACTCTTCTGTCTAGAAAGGTGTTTGAACACTGGTAGTCAACTGATACAAAGTAATTAGGATTCTTCTAGCAAATGATACTTGAACAAATGGGTAACTATATAGAAGAGAAAAAAAATAAAACCCTAAAGTTTCCTTTTAATAATAATTTGAGCCAGGTGGTGGTGGCACATGGGTTTAATCCCAGCACTCAGGAGGCAGAGGCAGGTGGATCTCTGTGAGCTCCAGGCCAGCCTGGTCTACAGAGTGAGTTCCAGTACAGAGCTACACAGAGAAACCCTGTCTTGAAAAACAAAACATAAATAAATAAATTTTGAATCCCTATTATATCTTCTATAGTTCTATACTGTGTATTTGTGTCCTTCATCTTTTTCGGTTACCTTATCTTTTTTTTTAAGATTTATTTATTATGTAAACAGTGTTCTACCTGCATGTATATCTGCACACCAGAAAGCACCAATGATCTCATTATAAAAGGTTGTGAGCCACCATGTGGTTGCTGGGAATTGAACTCGGGACCTCTAGAAGAGCAGCTAGTGCTCTTCTGAGCTATCTCTCCAGCCCCCTCAATTGCCTCGTCTTAAGGCTTACTTGACTTTTCTTTTTTTATTCACTTTGTGTGTGTACACAGATATGGTGCATGATGAGTGTGAAGGTCAGATCACAATTTGTGGTGTCAGTTCTCTCTTTCCACCTTTCCATAGGCTCCAAAGAGCAAACTCAAGCACAAGATCTGTGCAGCAAGCACCTTCACCTTCTGAGCCACTTTGCTTACTTAACTTCTTAAAAATTCACCTTTAAGCAAGAAGGGGGGGGGGGGGGATGATCTCTGTGAGGTCGAGACCAGCCTGGTCTACAAGAGCTAGTACCAGAACAGCCTCAAAAGCCACAGAGAAATCCTGTCTCGAAAAACTAAAAAGAAAAAAAAAAAAAATCCACCTTTAGTTTTATTTTCCTTGTAATTCGTATCTGTTCTTACCTTATAACTCCCTCCTGTATTTGAGGTAGGGAGATAGAGTCACCATGACCACAGCAACTCTTATAAAAGAAAGCATTTAATTGGGGCTGGCTTACAGTTTCAGAGGTTTAGCCCATTTTTATGATGGTGAGGAAAAGGCTGCACATAGATAGACATGGTAGCTGATTGCTCCACATCAAGATTCACAGGCAGCAGTAAGAAAGAGACACTGAGACTGGCTTGGGATTTGAAATACCAAAGCCCACATCCAGTGACACAATTCCTCCAACAAGGCCATATTTCTTCATTCCTTTCAAGTAGTGCCACTCCATAATAATTAAGCATTCAAATCTGTAAGCCTATGGGTGCTATTCTTATTCAAACAACACCTATATTAGTTTGGCATTTTCTTTGCATTTATTTGTGTGTGTGTGTGTGTGTGTGTGTGTGTGTGTGTGTGTATGCTCCCGAATGCATGCATGCACACGTGTCATGGAGCACATGTAAAAGTCTGAGGATAACTTGCAAAAGTTATCTCCTTCTTCCACCATTTGGTTTGAGGGATCAAACTCAAGTCATTAGACTTGGCAGCTAATAACTGTAGTCACTGAACCATCTCACCCACCCAAGTTTGCTTAATTTTTACTTTGATACTTAGTTCTATGTTTCCTGACTGCCATATATTTATATAGATAAATAGTGTAGTGGTTTATATTTGAATCCTTCATCCTCAGTTGGTGGACTATTAAGGATTACGAGATATGGCCTTGATGGAGAAGGTGTGCCACTGGGGTTGGATTGGGATTTGAGGCTTTAAAAGCCCACACCAGCCTCATCTCTCTCTTGATTTCCCTCCAACTTGCAGAGCAGATGTAAGCTCTCAGCTACTGCTCCTCAACCATGCCTGCCTCCTGACTTATTGCTATACTTCCCACCATTATAGCCATGAACTAGCCCTCTGAAATCAAACACCTCATTAAATCCTTCTTTTAAAAGTTGCCTTGGTCACAGTGTCTCTTCACAGCGATGGAACAGTGAATAAGATACATGAGTTTGTATATTATGTGAGTATTTATTTACATTTGACTGAAATATTCCTCTAAAGGCATTTAAAATCATGCTATTTTTCCAGTCTCAGAAATTCACTTCATTTAAAAAGTTCTATTTACTTATTTTGGTTTTTTCGAGACAAGGTTTCTCTGTGGTTTTGGAGGCTGTCCTGGAACTAGCTCTTGTAGACCAGGCTGGCCTTAAGCTCACAGAAATCCACCTGCTTCTGCCTCACAAATGCTGGGACTAAAGGCGTGCACCACCACCACCTGGCTAAAAAGTGCCTTTTAGTACAATAAAATAATATAGTAATAGTACAATGAAGAGAACCACCACACTGCATGAAGTTGGTAAATCTTCAATAGTAAAGCGTGACACTGAATTATAGAAGGGCATGCTCCCTTAGAACAAGATTGTTCACATCTGACTATTGACTTTAATAATCAATATACAAAAAGATGTATAAAGCTTTACCAAAATGATTCCATCAAGTCTGAAGTGGCACCACTGACGTTAGAGAAAGGAAACCACTTTTCCATAAGAGCTGGACTCCAGGGGCTGGTACGACTAAGCTCCTGCTGGACCCATTCTGGAACACAGGGGGCTAAAAAAACAGAAACAAGAGAAGACATCAGAACCAAGGAGAGAATCCAGGGCTGTGTCCCTGGACTCACTCCATCTCTCCAAAGGGCATGTTAACAACATCTGCCATTCTGCATTACCAACTCCTACAGGTCTATCTTGTCTGGGGTGGGGGTGGGGAATGCAAACACAATTTGAAGCTTTTGCTCCTATTACACATCCCTTCATCTTACTTCTGAAATATTCCTCTAAATGCATTTAAAATTGTGCTATTTTTCTATTCTCACAAATTTTACTTCCTTTTAAAAGTGCGTTTTAGTCCAGCACTCAGGAGGCAGAGGCAGGCAGATCTCTGTGAGTTTGAGGACAGCCTGGTCTACAAGAGCTAGTTCCAGGACAGTCTCCAAAGCCACAGAGAAACCCTGTCTCGAGACACCACTCCCCCCCACCAAAAAAGTGCCTTTTAGTACAAGAATAAACAATGTACTAACATAAAAGCAGTCTAAAGCTGCAGAGTAGAACCAGTATACTGCATCAAGTTGGTAACTCTGAGACAGTTAATTATAGAAGAGCAGGTTCCCTTAGGACAGGACTGCTAGAGGATGTGTTTGGAATGCCAGAATAAGCTTTCAATAGAACCTCATGAATAGGACCTTATCTAGACAGAATACAGTGGGGAGCCTGGACAGTAAGATATCACACTGACTTACATACTCCAGGAAACTGAGCCATGCTACAGCACACTGGCAAAATATTCAAGAGTGCTGTTTTACAGTATTCTAAAATAGTTTTCTGAGTTTCTAAATATTTTACCAATAGCCTATACACATTTGACAAATAAGTCAATGACACAGATACAAATAATCCATTGCTTTAATATGTGATTATTTCAAATATGCTAGTAAGTCATCCTACCTAAAAAGCAACAGTTAAATTTAAAGTGATTTAATGTAAACACAATAGGAGAACATAGCACTATCCACTATCCTCTTCCAACCCACACTCCTGCATTTTTGGCCACAATCTTTTCCTTGCCACTTGCCCAATACCAATCTCAACATTTCCTTTACATGTATTAAGCAGTTCACTTATTAATTTAATGTTCCTCTTACAAAGTTGTCTATTAATATTATTACTGTGCGGGCTGGAGAGATGGCTCAGAGATTAAGAGCACCAACTGCTCTTCAGAGGTCCTGAGTTCAATTCCCAACAACCAAATGGTGGCTCACAACCATCCGTTATGAGATCTGGTGCCCTCTTCTGGTGTGCAGATACACATGGAAGCAGAATGTTGTATGCATAATAAATAAAATCTTTAAAAAATATATATTATTACTGTGTGTGTGCATGTTGTTAGGAGACAACTTTGTAGTGTCGTTTCTTTCTATCTATACATGGATTTCAGATATCAAATTTAGATTCTCAGGATTGGTAACAAGCACTCTTACACACTCCGAGCCATCGTCACAGCTCTGAAGGTTCTTTTTGTAATTTTATGTGTATGGGTACACGTGTCTGTGCACCACTTTGTGAAGTGCCTGTGAAAGCCAGAAGAGGGTGCTGCATCCCCTGAAGCTGAAGTTACAGTTGTGAGAAGGGACATCTGATCTCATTATATTGTTGTGATCCATATATGTGGTTGCTGAGAATCAAACCTGGGTACTCCAAAAGAGCAGCCAGTGCTCTTTTTTTTTTTTTTTTTAAGATTTTATTTATTTATTATGCATACAACATTCTGCTTCCATGTATATCTGCACACCAGAAGAGGGTACCAGATCTTATAACAGATAGTTGTGAGCCACCATGTGGTTGCTGGGAATTGAACTCAGGACCTCTGGAAGAGAAGTTGGTGCTCTTAACCTCTGAGCCATCTCTCCAGCCCGAAGCCAGTGCTCTTAAGCCATCTCGCCAGCCCTCATGTAGTCTTCTCCACTACAAGCTTTAAAATTAATTTTTCAGTGTATAAAATATAGGTTTCACTGTATTTTCGTTAATTATTTTTTTTTCATTGACACTTTTATACATGTATCATTGAGCCTTGTTTTGTTTTGTTTTGTTTGCTTTTGGTTTTTTGAGACAGGGTTTCTCTGTGTAGCTCTGGAGACTATCCTGGCACTCACTCTTTAGACCAGGCTGGCCTTGAACTCACAGAGATCTGTAGATCTCCCGAGTGCTGGGATTAAAGGCGTGCGCCACCAACGCCCTGAGAAGCTTGTTCAGTTATCACACCCTACCTAACTGTCCCAATTTTGCTGTTCCTCTTCTCCCTTCAAGCAGTTCTGTTTTCACGTCACATGTGTATGTATATATACAGAAAGATAATACCCACATGAAAGAAATAAAGAATACTGTCTTCCTTTTCTAGTGCACTGTGATTACCCATCTCCCTCCTGCTTTTCTAAGTCTCCTTCTACTTTCATGTCCTATCCATCTACATGTATAGTCATAAACTATAGTAAGAGCCAGGCATCATCTTATGACTGATTTTAAAGTGTTCTATAGAGCCTTCACATGAAGTTCTTCAGGATTTCTAAAACTAGTAATTTAAACTGCCTAGAGCTTGCTTTTATCTGTCTTACAACATCCTAGGGTTCCACCAAATGCATGATGGAAAGGGCTGGAAGAGATTGCAAACCACCCTGTGTCATGTTAATTCCTGGTAGGAAAACTTACCAGAAGAAGCAGGATCTTCAAATAAATTAGGAACCTGAGTCAGTACACTATCTACAACATCTGAGAAAAGGGAAGTTATATCCTGGGGACCTTCAGTCACAGCTGTCTGGAGAAAATGTCTTTGAAATTCAGCTTCTTTGGCTCGGAAAACTGTGAGAATCATGGCATTGGCAGAGAATGGGGAAATAATTCCTGTGATGGGGGGCCAACCTTCACCAGGATCCACACTGGCAACCTACAAAGAAATGCTAATTAGTTGGGAATATTATTGTCAATATACCTAAAAGAATGTAGCCTGTTAGAGACAGAACAATAGTTGGCTATCAGTGGCAGAAGAGAATTTACTAATAATATAGTCCCTAAGTTTCAACCTGTAAGAAAAAGCTTATAAATACCATGTGTTTATTGTCTCTGGATCCTTCTAATTGTATTTGCTTCATTTATGTGTATGTGTATGTACACTCATTACACATTTGCTGCATCTTACAATCACTCATTTTAAATGATTATCACACACAAAAAATGATAATCACTTCCACTTTATAGGATGGATTGAGGCTTAGGAAAAAGCCACTAGTTCAAGGTCACCCACTGGTGTAAGAAAAAGCTACTAGGTACATCTGATTTCAGAGCAAATGTACTTCACTGTGAGGCAATACAATCAACACACACCTGGGCAGCAAAGCTGAGGCCTAATCCAAATGGTCTGCCTCCCCAAGCTTGTCTACCTAGCATAACCAAGTTTTGTATCACATTAATAATAACAGAATATAGTGCTCTTTTCACTGGACCATGTAACTCTTAGGAAAGTTTCCACACAAGATCCAGAATCTTCCTCGAGATTCTTTTACCACAGGATCCAGAATACTTCCTGAGATTACAACGGCAAAGAAAAAAAAGGAATTTGAGAGTAATTTCAAAATAGCCATCATAGCTGGGTGTGGTGTTACACACCATTTATCCCAGCATTGGAGGGTCAGAGGCAGGCAGACCTCTGAATTCAAGGCCAGCCTGGTCTACAAGTGAGTTTCAGGACAGCTAGGGCTACACAGTGTGACTCTGTCTCAAAAATCAAAAAACAAAAGAAACAAAAGAAGCCATCGTTTTAAAATCAAACCTGGGTATATTTGTGTTCCTGTCATGAGACAGTTCTAAGTTTGAGTAACTATTCTTACGCTATTATATTTAATTTTATATTATAGCGGCTTTTTCCTAAACACATTAAAATTAAATTATAGAATATTCAATTGTGAGAAACCACCCATCATTTCGTTCTCATACAACCATCTCATTGGGCCAGCTACCTTTTTCTTTGTACATTTGGTGTCTTTAGCTTAATTGGATTCATGATGTATACATTTTGCAAATGGTTTCTTCACTAATAATCATCATTTTCATTATGCTTAAATGCAAGCAACATTATTTGAAAAACACCACCAATTTTAGTAAGAATGTTGTATCAGGTAGGCAACCCTTGGTATTTTGTAAACACGCTTATCTCATCTCACTCGTGTGCTACTGGACAAGAATCTTTAACGTGTGGAGGAACCTACCAGATGGAATTCTTCAGCAGTCAGCCTGCTTACTAGCTCCTGAAACAACAGCCTTTGAGTTGACTTGTATCCCTCTGGACTTTGTAGCATCCAGTTGTCAGTGCCTAAAGCACTACTCATTGGGAGAGACCACTGGGCCACTGAGCCTCTTAGAAATATTCTTACTGGCTTCTGGAAATGTCTCTGATGCATGGCTAAGGGCTCTAGGGAGATTGCCCATGTTTCTTGAATTTCTTTGCCTGACAGAAATAAAGAATATTAAAATGTTAATATATGAAATAGTTTCTAAAAGAGATTTCATAGCAAGAATGAAAAGAATCAGATTTCCAGTTGAGACAGTGGGTAATGTCACTCAATTCACATTTCAACCCTTAGCCTGTTGTCTACAAGCTATATGAGCAGATTCATTTGGCACTAAGAAAAAAACTGTATACAAATGGATATGGTATCAGAACTTCTCAATTATGACTTGAAAATATGTACTCAAGTAGTACTACTTTCAAAAATTAAGACTCTCTGATTGGTGTGGTAGTAAATTTCCATAATCCCAGCTCTCAGGTGCCTGAGGTTGGAAGATAGAGTGGCCTAGGCCAATCTGGGATACATACTAAGGTCCTGTCTCAAAGAAGACTCAAAAACAAAACTGAAAAAATACCTTTACAGGCCAATACTGAGGTCCTGTCTCAAAGAAGACTCAAAAACAAAACTGAAAAAATACCTTTACTTTGGTAAGATCAGGGTATGGTTCGGTGGTAGATAACTGCCTAGCATGTAAGCTCTAGGTTCAATACCAATGTATCAGATAGAAAAAAATTCCCATAAAAAAAGAAAACAGTGAATTATATATTAAGAGGTTATATACTAAAGACTGAATGATAAGTACTCTCTATATGTACCATGTGTATGGCTACTGCCCTCAGAGATCAAAAGAGGACATTGGATCTCCTGGAACTGGAGTTAGTTAGTTGCTATCCACCACGTGAGTGCTAAGACACAAAACTAGTTTCTCTGAAACAGAAACAGGTGTTCTTTACCACTAAACTATCACTCCAGCCCCCAAATATACTCTTAAATTTTTTTTTTTAAACTGGGGGGCTAGAGAGATGGCTCAGTGATCAGAGGACCATAGTTTAATTCCCAGCACCCACATGACATCTAACAACTGTCCATAACTTGAGCTCTAAGTGGATCTGGAACCTTCTTCTGGCCTCTATGGGCACTGAACACACATGGTACACAGACATTCATGCAGTCAAAACATCTAAGCACATAAAATAAAAATAAACATTAAAAACATTCTTTAAACTGGCTAACTCTTGGATCATACACCTAGAATCCACCACTTGGGAAAAAATACATAAACATTAAAAATATTCTTTAAACTGGCTAACTCTTGAATCATACACCTAGAATCCACCACTTGGGAGGTGAGACAGTGTGACCAGGCTAGCAAGTTTGAAACCAGCTTGAGACATTATCTCAAAAACAAAAACAAAACAAACACCACTAAAAATTCTTCAGCTGCACATAATTACAACATAGTTTAAAGTATCAATCTCTACGAAGTCTCTCCCTATGAACATACGATATACTCAGACATGAGCTTCACCATGTAGCAAGTCATATGGGAAACAGATTTGTAAGATGTTGGCTTTTCCTGGTAACAAGAATCATTTGAGGGTTTTGTAATTCATTTCTTCTGTAATCATCTTCTTTCTCTATAATCTCTAATTTATCAATTTCTTCTACAAGGCAATAAAATCCTTATACTCATATGCTTGGGTTTTTAAGCAATATTACCAATCTTTTTGTAATTCTTTGTAATTATTCCCTTGTTTTTTCCTTACATGCACTGGCAGGTATACTACAGTTCAGTCTTCCTGTGGTGTCTGATTTTGCTTTTGGATTTTTAATTCTTTCAATTAAATTGAGTACCAGGCTATAGAAAATGCTAAAGAAACTGGAAGTATGCTTTGAAGAAAAAGGTTAGATTTTTTTTTTTTTTTTTTGGTTTTTCAAGACAGGGTTTCTTTGTGTAGCTTTGGAGCCTATCCTGGCACTCGCTCTGGAGACCAGGCTGGCCTGGAACTCACAGAGATCCACCTGCCTCTGCCTCTCGAGTACTGGGGATTAAAGGCGTGTGCCACCAACGCCCAGCTAAAAGGTAAGATTTTTAAAAGTTATTTGCTTACCTTTAACAGGGAGAAATAATGTTCCTTCAGTTTGGGGAAATGAGGCTTCATACTCAGGAGAATTATAGAGTAGGCAGTTTACAGTGGCATCTATTGGCAGAGCTGAGATCCAGGAGGAGAGGTGAGGGTCACGTGACAGCTCATCACCACTCTGCAGCACTGTTTCCCCAACTTTAGTAAAACCCAGGCTCCAAGTTTCAGATGGCAAGATGGTGCCTCCTCCATGGTGGAGCAGTTCACAAACTGTCCAGTACCCAATGTGGTCTGGGGAGGCCCATAACTAAAATGAACATGACAAAAAAGCCTGGGTTAGTATATTTATGAATAAACAGGAAATAGGGAAAACATTGATACCAACATTAAAGGGTCAAATTATACTATTAATGTATCTGTTGAACCAAGTACAAATAACAGCTAGCATCTATTACTACACAGCCCAAGATCATAATTACCACATAACATACCTACAAGGAATCAGAGTACTGGAATCAGAGACTATTAATAAAGTGCTTGCCTTGTAAGTGTAAGGACCTAAATTCAAACCCTAGACCCATGTTAAAAAAAGCCAAGCACGGTGGTATATGTTTATAATCCTAGCACCAAGAAACAGAGAGCAGTTATCTTTAGGGTACACTGGCTGGCTAACCTAGTTGGTGAACTCTACTTCAGCAACAACACCCAAACTTGTCTTCTGCCCTCCTACATACATGATAAACAAATGATTATGAACTACACAGAAAGAAAAGATTCTTTTTTTTTAAATAGCCCTGTTTTTACTGCTTTTCATGTTTTATTAATGTGCATATATCTGTATAAGTGTATGCAGTATATGTGGGTGTCCTCAGAGGCCAGCTAATACCACATACATGGATGCTGGGAACCAAACTCAGGTCCTCTTGGAAGAGCTGCAAACAACCCTTCAGTCCTGGGCCATCTCTCCAGGCCAACAGCTTTTCATTGAGACAGGGTCTCATCATTACCTAAACTAGACTTGAACTCACTTATAAAGCAGAAAGGATCTGAACTTTCCACCCCACTGCCTCAGACTTCCAAACAGTCTAGACTATAGACCTACACTGGAGGGTCTTCAAGTTTATCTAGGTCATCCCCCAACCAGCTATTATATTCAAGTTCAAAGAGTTGTAAGGAACTGTCCACAAATACAGCAAGACAATGATAGACCAACCAGTCCAAGAATGAAACTACCTTGATGTCTGTAAAAATGGTACTTCCATGGATCAACTAAATGTTACCACACTTGGGAAGTTAAAGTAGGAAGACTGAATTCCAGGACAGTCTGAGCTACAACCACAGGTTTCAAAAACAAACAAAAAAAAAATCCACAATATATTCTGAAAGTTTTCTTTCAGTCATGTACATCAATCTTGTAGGCACTGTAACAGCAAAATTAATTAATTCATTGATTAATCTGTGAAGTTATCTGTGCAGTTCACTGCTATGTGGAAGAAAGCAAACTATTCAGATATCACTGATTATGACCTTTTTTCTGCCAAAAGAAACAAATCCATTGAAACTGACTCAGCCAGAAGACCAGTTTAGAAGGGTGAAGGATGTTGACTTTTCATTTACATGTTATATGAACCCCTTCACACAGACATGAATGTAGGCAAAACACCAATGCACCAAAAGCCAGGTGGTAGTGGCATATGCCTTTAATCCCAGCACTCAGAAGGCAGAGGCAGGCAGATATCTGTGAGTTCAAGACCAACCTGGTCTACATATCGAGTTCTAAGACAGCCAGGGCAACACACAGAAACCTGTCTAGAAAAAAAACAAAAACCAAAGGTTGTAAGTCTCCAGGTTAGTACTGGGAATTGAATACAGAGCCTCTGGAAGAGTAATCAGTGTTCCTAACTTTAGCCATCTCTCCAGCACTTATACTTAACATAAATTTTGTTTTTGTTTTTTTTTCAAGACAGGACCTCATTATGTAGCTCTCAATGTCCTGGAACTCAGTATGTAGACCAGGCTGGCCTTGAACTCAAAAGAGATCCACTGCTGGCCTTTGAACTCAGAGATCCACTACACCTAGCTTTAACATAATATTTTTATTAGTCCTGGAGGAATGGCTCAGCAATTAAATCACTGGCTGCTTTTCTAGAAGAACCCGGTTCAATTCTTGGCACCCCATAACAGCTCACAACCATGTATAACTCCAGTTCCAAAGAATCTGACACCATCTTCTGGCCCCTGTAGCCACTAGCCTTGCAGGTAATTCAGACATACATGCAGACAAAATACTCCCATGTTTAAAATAAAGTCAAAATTTCTTATTACTTCTTGGAGAATTTCTTACAATGTATTTGATCACATTTACCTCCCACTTCTTCCCCTAAGTCTTTTTTTTTTAAAGATTTTTTTTTTAAATTTATTATGTATACAATGTTCAGCCTGCATGTATGCCTGCAGGCAGGAAGAGGGCACCAAATCTCATTACAGATGGTTGTGAGCTACCATGTGGTTGCTGGGAATTGAACTCAGGACCTCTGGAAGAGCAGTCAGTGCTCTTAACCTCTGAGCCATCTCTCCAGCCCCTTTCTCCTAAGTCTTAACATTCTAGCTGATTATTGTTGGTTTTTCATCTGTACTCTTGCTATTTAAGCAGCTCCTGGTTTAGAGCTATGTAATTCTATTAAGTGGAAGCTCTTCACCTGTTTAAACCACTTTCTAAATCTTCTCATTGATCAGAACAAAATCCATGATTCAAGTCTGGCCTGGTGGAACAGCACTTCTCCTTTCTAACTCTGTTGTTCTCCCCATTGCTTTTCTGGGTCCACAGTTCCTAGTCTTTCTTTTTGTAATACAAAGTTCATTCCTAGCTTGCACCCTTACTTATGGCCTCCTCTAAGTCTGGGAATGCTCTCTCCCTGTCTTCATAGTCTTCCTCATTCACTGCTAGGGAAGGTCTTCTTCCCTAAGTACACCTCTAAATACAATAACCATCTGCCTCCCCTCATCTAGTCTTTCTTTTCCTTGGAGCAAGTTTTGAAACCATCACTTATTTGCTCATCTCTTTAATATATCTTCCACACTATTAACTATGTTAGTCACCATATCTCTAGCAGCTGAGGCTCAATATAGTAGCTTATTAATGCATGTATCTTTACTAAATAATGAACCAGAAATAAAATTAAACTGTATATACTATAGATCCATTCATGTTATACTTTCACATATATACATATTAAAGGAGACCAGGAGTTCAAGGTCATCCTCCAGTACACAGAGTCTCAGGCCACCCCATCCTGGCTACAACCTGAACTACACCAGTCTGTTTCAAAACTAGCAACAAACACACACACACACACACACACACACACACACACACCATAGTACTTACAGGAGCATGGAGCTCCACTGCCTCAACAAAAATCCAAAACTAGCCGTTTAAGACTAAGTTTGTAAAAAGAGATTCATCTAACCAGCAGATATTTACTTAACACACACAGTGTTCAATATACAACTGTGTTAAGAGCTGGTACCCGCCATTGAGATTTTTGTTTGTTTGAGAAGGCATCTTTCTGTACAGTCTGGCTAGTCTTGAACTGTGACAATCCTCCTGCCTCAGCTTCCTATAGACCATCACCACTGAGGTGGTATTTTTAAACTAGATGGAAAATGACAGGTGTGTCCTATTATGTGTGGAACACAATAGAGAAAAGAGTTCTACATGCCACAACAAAGGGTATTGGTTTTGTTTGTTTTGAAGACAGGGTCTCTCTCTACATAGCCCAGACTGTCCTGGAGTTCACTATGTAGATTAGGCTGGCCTTGGACTCAGAGATCCACCTGCCTCTCTCTGGCTCCTGAGTGTTGGGATTAAAGGTGTGGGCTGGGCAGCCACCATGTCAGGACAACAACAAAGGTTAAGATAGGTTTCTATTGCTTTAGAAAAGAGAGGACTAGAGGTCCAGGAAGAAAGATCTGTGACCTGAGTGTCGGGCAGTAGTGGGCGAATGCCTTTAATCCCAGCACTCTGGAGGCAGAGGCAGGCGAATCTCTGAGTTCCAGGACAGCCTGGTCTACGGATCGAGTTCCAGCACAGCCAGGAATCTACTCATTTTGTTGGGGAACACTGTCCCTCTTTGGGACCCGCAGAGGTTTCCTTCGGAAGGGTCACACTCTGCGTGTGTGGCACTCTACAGAACCTGACAAGTTCTATCTGGAGGAGAGTAGGTGTACTGGATCCGACACTGCTCCACCTTACCTTAGACCGCTCGGTGGTGTCGACCCAGTACAAGGTTATATTTCGGGCGATCATGACCTCCTGGACCCTCTTGGGCAACACCTTCTCCATCACCTGCTTGGGGGTTAGCGGCACTTGAGTCTGGGCCTCGCACCCGGACACGAACTGCAGCAGCTCCCTCTGCGAGTGAGGGCAGGGCGCCAGGAGGAAGACAGCGTTCCCGAAGCCCCCGAGAGCGGCCAGGGCCTCCTTGGCTTCGCTGTCTGCGTCCAGCAGTCTCCTCCCGCTACTCCGCAGGATCGGCTTTGTGGGCGACGTGATCTCCGGCCGGTCCCACTGGTAGTCTAGCAGCGTCTCCATCAGGGCACCGTGAGTGTGAGTGGCCCTGGGAGTCGGGCCGGGCAGGTGGGCGCCGGGAGCGCGATCCCCGAGCCTCGTCTCCAGCTCCTGCTCGAAGTCCTCCCAGGAGCGGCTCCCCAGTTCCCGGAAGTCAGACACGCGGGAGGGTCGGCTCCGTGCCCCCTGAGAGTCGAAGAACTTGAAGGCCCAGTGGACCCTAGGCAGGCCGAAGCGGCCGCTGAGGTAAGTGAGGAGGCGCAGGGCGGCACGCCGGGCCGGGCTGTGGCGAGCGGCATCGACCGCGGTGTCCACCAGCAGCACCACTTTGTGACAGCAGGCCATGTCGGCCGCGACCGGTGCTCGGCCCGGCCGCGCGTTGCCTTTCCGAGGAAAGGGACTCCCTTCAGTGAAGCAGCGCCATTGCCCGCTTCTCTGAGGCCCTCTGCTCCGAAGCCTCCCGCGCTTCGCGACAGCTGCTGCTATTGGAGGAACTGGTTCCCTAGCTTGGTTCTCATTGGCTGCGGGCTGGACGTAGGCTACGTAAGCACTTCCATGTTTGACTCTAACTGGAAGCAGTGTGGAAAAGCTCCGCTTGATTGGTGGAGGGTGAGATTGTGGGCGGGGCGATGAATTCCCGGAGACCCTCGGTCCTCATTGGCCCGAGCCTTCGTTTTAAAATTTAAAGAGGCGGTACTTCGGGGGCGTGTGCGTGCGTGTCGGAGGCGGGGCGTGTCGCTGGGACCCTGGGGCCTGGGTGGTGCAGGGGAAGGGGTTTGGAAAGGTTTGACTGGAACTCGCATTAGTCTACTCGTCAGTCTTTTAAGGGAACAGAATCCGATGACTGAGGCTTTAGTTTTTTTTCCGTAAAGGTTTCATAATCTCCACGCTCGGGAGACCGAGGTGGCCCGGGCTACTTAGCTAGGCCACCGGAGCAAGGAGTACAGTGGAGAGGGCCTTGGATATTGTGAAGGACTGGAAGGCAGGGAAGGGATTCCAGGAAGAAAGGGAAGTGACAGAACTCATGTTTTGAAAAGAGCACTCGGGTCCTCGGTGGAAAAATCCGGTCAGTATATAGGCACAAAAAGGAGTCAAGAAGAGGCAGTGAGATACAGGAGGAGTCTGCAGAGCATCTGGGGGGCTGTTTTACAAACTAAGGAATGAACGAAGACACCACAGAGTGCCTGAGCCAGTTCTTTGGGTGCATAAAAATTATACTAGAACATCTGTATTTCCAGAGCCCGCCTTAAAAAAAAAAAAAATCTTACCCCTTATCCACTCAATAGATGTTAGTGTTTTGTTGCATTTTGTTTTTAACTTGTTTTTTGTTGCTTGTTTTTGTGACTTTCTCTTGTATCCTGCCTCCACCTCTCCAGTGCTGGATTGCAGGCATGCTCTCTTGTGGTGTTGGGGGTCAAATCCAGGGCTTTATGCATGCTGGACAGCCAAGCACTGTACCAACATCTTGAGCACCCATAGGTGTTTGTTTTTCTTCTTTTTAATTTATATGTTGGGGGGATGGTTTCTAGGGATGAAACACGGGGCCTGGCATGTACTTAGCTAGCATGCTTCCTCTCAGCCACATCCCTGGCCACTGGATATTGTTTATTTTATTTATTTATTTTTACATCTTACGTGTATGAGTGTTTTGCCCATATATGGACAAAGAGGCTAAAATTATACAATGGAAAAAAGAAAGTGTCTTCAACAAATGGTGCTGGCATAACTGGATGCTGACATGTAGAAGGTTGCAGATAGATCCATATCTATCACCATACATAAAACTTAAGTCCAAATGGATCAAAGACCGAAACATAAATCCAGCCACACTGAACCTCTTAGGAGAGAAAGTAGAAAGTACCCTTAAACTAATTGGTACAGGAGACCACTTCCTGAACATAACGCCAGTAGCACAGACACTGTTTCTAAGTTTCTATTTTATTCTTCATTTTATGTGTAAGTATTAATAGAAAGGAGCTGGGCATGGCTGTACTATGCCGTTAATTCCAGCCCTCAAGAGGCAGAGACAGGCAGATCTCTGTGAGTTCAAAGCTAACTAGGTTTACATAGTGAGCTCCAGGCCTGCCAGGGCTACATAGTGAGAGCTACACATAGTCTCCAAAAGGTAGGTGGTGGGGCTGGAGCAACTGTGGTGAAGACCAATTGTTGCTCTTGCAGAAGACCTGGGTTCATTCTCAATACCCTTTGGTGGCTCACAACCATTCGTAACTATAATTCCAGGAAGTCTGATGCCCCTCTCTGATTGCCATGGGTACTAGGCATGCACGTGGTGTGCATACATACATGCATGAAAAACACTCATACACATAAAATAAATATTTTGAAAAGTATCTACACATAATTTGCTGATTAAATATACATATTGTTGGGAACAGTGTGGCCAAGTTTCAGCCCAGTATATGAATACTTGTTCAGTGTATCTCCAGATGAGCAAAGCCCACGGGAACAGTCTCAGTTGGCAAGGACCAGTGGACTTCGGGACATGGCAGAATATTGCTGGAACCACGCAGCCTGTGTGCTCTCTTTAATCTTGTGATGCTGATGAATCTTTTGGTGGTTTTAGTGTTAATTTGTCAGCCATTAATGGGACAGATATGATCATTCCTGGAAACCCATTTTTTCTTCAATATTTCCCCCTAAAATTCTTTGGGAGCTGATGTTTCTCAGGTTTCTTATCTGGGGATCCCAGCTGTCACTCCGGATCCCAGGAGCTGTTCTGAGTCACTGCTGATGGGATCAGAGGCAGATCACCCCTATTTCTGTAAATAAGTTTTGAGCGAGATTGTTGTTCTTGAAAATGTGTGACTATCTCAATCACCTTTTAGTTTTGTAAAGACGGGATGTACCTTGCTTGATATTTGGCCAAGCTAACAAAATGATAAGTGTTAGTTTTGGTTTAAAGATATTTTGATATAAAAGTTGGAAAAAAACATATTTGACATATTTATTTTTGCCGGGGATTAACATTGGAGACTGGGAAAAACTTGTTTGTTAGTATGCTTGTTTTTGACATATAAATAAAAATGGCTGGAGTCCCAGCACTAGGGAGGCAGAGGCAGGCAGATCTCCAGCCTTGTCTACAAGAGTTAGTTCCAGGACAGCCAGCCTCCAAAGCCACAGAGAAACCCTGTCTCAAAAAATCAAAAATAAAATAAATTAAATAAATAAATAAATAAATAAATAAATAAATAAAAATGGCTGTAGTTATCCGGGGCCAGCCACTTGTGTGAAACCCCACCTGATGACCAGACAGTTCATTTCTTAGCTCCAACACCCTGTCCCTGTTTCAGGACCTGAACCCAGGCTGCAGTGGGACCACAGCAATATGTATTGGGGATACAGATTCAACACCTTTCTATGTTTTTGTTGTTTGGTTTGGTTTTGGTTTTTTTGGGGGGGTTAGTATGAATGTTCTGTCTGCATGTTGCCTACACGCCCATTATAGATGGTTGTGAACCACCATGTGGTTGCTGTGAATTGAACTCAGGACCTCTGAAATAGCAGCCAGTGCTCTTACCTGCTGAGCCATTTCTCTGGCCCCTCTAATGCAGTTCTTTGTTCCTAAGGGAAAACATCAAATAAATGTGGACACTACTAGTCTACACTCCATGGCGGTGGCTTTGGACCAAGGTTCCTGTGGTGGAGATGGTTAACTATGGCTGTGTTAAAGATATATTCCAGATGTGTAGTATTACCAACAGATTGCAGGCTGTAATAATAACTTCTAGGTTTAGGGCCTGAAGCTAATAAAAAGTAGAGAAAGAGTGAAGAAGCAATGGTGAGGAGGGAGCAGAATATCAGGTTCCAGTTAGGCAGCATTATGATTAAGATGCCAGCTGGACCCCTGTGCTGATTGTGAACCTGTTGCAACCTAGAATCACCTGGGAAGGGTCTTGATGAAGCACTGTCTACATTGGACTGGCCTGTGGGCTGATCCTTGTGGAGTTGTCTTAATGATGGTAATGAATGTGGGAAGCCCCAGCCCATAGTGGGCAGCACCATTCCCTAGGCAGAGGGACTTGAACTATATGAGTCCAGAAACTGTGCTGGACACAAGCAAGTTAGCATACATGCATACATTCATTTCTCTTTGCTCTTGACTGTGTGTTGGCTGCTTTAAGTTCCTGCTGCCTTGACTCAGTTGATGGACTGTAACCTGGAATTGTGAGCTAACAATAAGATCTTTTCACCCTCTAAGTTGCCTTTTGTCAGGATATTTTATCACATCAACAGAAATGAAACTAGGATAATCCCCAAGTGGGTAAGTTTCAGGTGCGTTGTTAGATGCATGAGTATAGAGCAGTGGAGAGAAATTGGGGCAAAGAGGTAACTTGAAAATGATGAGTAACTAGCTGTCATTTAAAGGCCTGGGCCTGGATGAGCTCACCAAGGTGTCTCAGCGCCAGGTGGTGATGGGGCTGGGTGGGGAGTGTGTGTGTGTGTGTGTGTGTCTGCCATCTGAATGGTAGATGTGAAGATCCACAACGATAGATGCTTCCAGTTCAGAAAGAAAACTGACTGCACAGTCACCGTGGCTGACTCAGACTTGCTGGGTTTGATGACCAGGAAAACGAATCCTCAGCCTGCCACCTTTCAAGGTAAATTGAAAATCGATGGTAGCCTGGGCCTACAATGAAGTTACAAAGTTTTTGGCTTTCTGCAAAGCTAAGCTGTGAAGAGCTGCCTTAGGCAACCTCAGGACATCCCGATGACATATAGACACATGTAGATAGCCATGTCTCGGTGTTAGAACCTAGACTGACACTTCCCATTGGCAGTGGGTGTGGACAATTCAGTTTTTCTTGACCTTTGTGGTGAGTGGGGCCTGCTGGCCCACTACTGCTGCTCTGAGGAATTGCATACAACTGTGCATGACAAACTACTATTGCAACAATGGTTTGGGGCAAATTTCAGTTTCAGAACAAAATTAAGAACAGTAACATCTCGGCTATAGAGTAGGCTCTGTGATTAAGAGCATGTGCTCTGGACCCAGGTTCGATTCCCAGCATCCACATGGGGGTTCACCATCTCCTCAAGCACCAGGCATGCATGTGGTACAGACATACTTGCAGGCAAAATACTCATATACATAACAGTAAATAAAAATTTTAAAAGGACAATAAACTAAAATAAATTTATTTTTTCTGATCCAGTGAGATGGCTCTGTGGACAAAAGCACTAACCTGATGACCAGACTTCAATCCCCAGAACCCACAGAAAACCAGAAG